CTCCTAAGGTTCTTGATGCTGAAGTGTGCTCCAAACTAGCTTTAACAGGTATGATTGTACCAAATACTTTTTTTCTCATTCATCATTGTTTATACTGTACCTATCGGCAAGAGCGGAGCCCGGATTTGTCTTCAGTGTGACCACTTACTGGCTCTTTAACTATCAATGCTATGTGCTATAATGAAATAAGCTTCCATAATGCAATCTTACATTATCGATAAAACTAGCAAGGAAAATATTGCAAGTTATGAAAGAATGAGTCCTAAATGAATTCTTATGGGATTGGTTGGGTACGTTTCTAATGAAGTTAGACTTAAGGAACTCACAAACCTAAATTCAAAAAGAATTGATCCAATAATTATTTTGTCCAAGAATTAATTATGTTAGAAACATACCACTACTAAATATTAAATCAATTTTACTTCTTGACAAAAAAGAATTAACTAAAGAAATGTTCACACAAATAAATTTTGGTTTTTTTTTTGGTTCTTGTCTTTATATAGGTATAATGGTATATAATTTCTGAGCATCTGGGCTCTAAGAAGGGAAAAATTTGTGCATTGGAAAACCAGCCTTGGCAGATAAAGAGAAAAATAGCAAATGAGAAGAAAACAGAGAAGATCTGATTGTTTGAATCTTGTATTATATTAAATTTGCACTATGTTTTGACATTCTAAAATCAGCCCCCTTGTTTTAAAAGACATTTCACAAATTGACTCCCCTGATTCACATCAATCTTTGTTTGCAAAAATTTTGGGGGGTCATTTGCATATAACCCCTCCAACACTTTGAGAATTTTCAATTTGCTTTGGCTGTGGTCTTATAGTTTCCATCAGGTCAGCTGACTGCACTAGAGCTAAAGCAGCTTCACTGATGCCCATTGATGCTTTAACTTGGTTAGGTCAAGCTGACAACACTTGACTGGGATGGACAAGATAATTTAGACATCTAAATATCCTCCAATTTATTCTCAACTTCTTGTTTTTCCAAATTCAGGAGTTATAAGGGACTCTGTGGTTGATGAGAGACAACTTGCAGAATATTTTCTGGCTATCCTCAGCTTGAGTGACGAGTACAAGAAATGGGCAAAGTTATCTACCTTCGAGAACAATAGATTATTTGCTGATTATATGGTAGAGAGTTCTGGAAGCTCTGAATTGGACAAAAGACGTAGAAAGCAAAGTCCTAAAGATCACACACAGGTATGATCACTTATCCTGTAAATTAGCATCATGTGCAGTGATGATTGCATTGGTCGAAATACGAAATATCTTTTATTTTTGGTCACCATTGGGTGCAAGGTGGATTTTTTCGGATAAATTTGACATGATAAAAATTTGGCTTCATACATCAAAAGCAGTTGACACAATTTGCTCCTCTCCACATTAGACAAATTTAACCCACCGAAAAAATTTTGATTTTTTAGTTTCACAAAGTCATCCTTTTATTTAAGTTGCCGTTGCCTGTATAATTTTTTGTTGGGAGACAAATGGCGCTTTTTGAATGCAGAAAGAATTTTTGCAATAGATCCTTCCTTGTAAGTTTTTTTCTGCCAAATTTTGAGTGTTAACTTGGGAAAACATTTTGTATAGTCCATTTGGAACTTTAAATTGTGTCTCAAAATCTCATAAACTCAATGCGTTGTTTAACACGTTAAAGTCACTTCTCTTTCAATGGCCACTTCTGGATTTTGCTACATGTTTGCACTTAGCACTTTACTGTTTCTCAGGTAAGTAAACAAAATTTTGGTAGCTTGTCTTTGACCTCCCACTTCTGGCTTTTGCTCGTGGTTTTCCTTTGCTTGTACTTGTGTTACTATCATCAATCGCATAAAATTTGTGCTTTGTCGACTCTATAACCCAGTGTAGCAGAATGTGAAGTGGCCATTGCTTGGTTAAATTGTAAAATGCTTGGACTGCCAAGTGTCAGAAAAAATTCAACTATGACATCAGCAACTTCCAGCAAAAATATGAGAAATGTTACGTTCGTTTGTAGTATCATTCTCCTAACAGCATGTGTAAGCATAAACAAACAGTGATTTGACCTATAAATGTAATGTGTAGCTGTTTAGGGCCTTCAGCTTAAACAGTCAAAACCCAACGTAGCTTGTCCTAAGCTAGTTAAGACAAGCTTGGCCATGCAAGGCTTTGGCAGAGGATATATGAGGTTTGAAATTAAGCTCATGGTTTCCCATTTGTCTCTCAGTTTGCTTGTTAGGGGATTTGCATTGCATTATTGGATCTTCTTGTTTTTTGTTTTCATAATAGTGATCTAACAGAAAATAAAATCATTTTACAAATATTTCAGCTTTGTTTCGCCAAAATTGACATTCATGATTGTTCATACAGGATTCCATTGTGCATAATGTTCGACGAACACTCTTTGAGGTAATTTCATCTTTCCATGGTAATCTGGAAGATGAAAAGGAATTGGAACGGCTCATTGAAACACAGTTCACAGCCTTGCAGCAAGCTTTTCACGTTCCTTCCGCATCAGATGAAGATGGACATAACACAGTTTCTTTCAAGTTACTTAATTTATATCGAACTGGAAGGCTTGGCCATTATACTTTAGACTTTCTTCCAAGGAATGCTTCAGGACTTGTTTCAATGTGAGATTCATTGATCTCTTACTTTTTCTGCAAATGTGATAGTTTCTCTTCATATTGATAAAATTGTGTACTATTTGCTAATATCTATTGTATAGCAATGTCATGGTTTTCTTTTGGTAACCTATTGAATATGTTTTGGAAGCTATATTTTTGGTAAGGGGCCGTTTCAGTAAGGCTTGTGGGTAGGGCTGATAATTGAGTCGAGTTACTTAGACTCAGTTCGGACTTGGTTCATATAAGACTCTACTCGAGCTCGGCTTGTGTTTTAATCGAATGAGTTTGAACAATTTTTTAGGCTCATTTTAAAAAAAAGAGCCTAAAAGACTTAGTTCGTTTATATGAAAAATAGTTGAGCTAATTGGACTCGGCTTGAATTTGGCTAAGTTTGGGCTTGACTCATTTTTTAAATGAGCCGAACTTGAACAATTTTTTAAATTTGTTTGAAAAAACAAGTTCAACAGACTCGGCTTAAGTTCATAAAGTTTGACTCAGATTATCAGTCTAGTAAGTGAAAACAGCTGAACAGCGAGACCTAAACATGGACTTAACCACCCCTGCTGCCTGTATCCAACTCAACCCAAGTGCCAATATCCAAAAGGATTCTAGAGATTTTTGGTGGTCAATGTAATTTACTGGCCATTTAGAGCTGGGGAAGCGTACGCTTTGCATGGCGATAGTAGTTTTGTACTATGTTCCAAAGCTGATGTAGCACAAACACAGCCATTGATGCTCAGCAAAAGGATTAGACGTCCCCATGCTACGGTTCCTGCGGTCCAAACCCAGTGTCGCATTAGGTTAGGGAGCTGGGCGATAATGGCTCCTCCACATGCCAAAGTGCGCTGCCTCCTATGCAGGCAACCCTAAATAATCCAAGTGCTATTCTGTCCTCCGGGGACTGGACTCCACAAATTGGTCCTTTCTCCTCTTTCAGCCATGAGCGGTGAGTTTCTTTTTTTTTCTAGGTAGGTACCTTTTGACTTCGGAGTTTGTTCCAACGGCTATGATACATGAGATCCTGATCGTCTTCCTCCCAACCTTTTGACCTGATGGGGAAGGAAGGAAACCCGAATGGGGAAGGAAGGAAAGTCGGGTTTCGTAGTACAACCAAAGCCATGATAATATAACTGGTTAAATGCTAAAATGACATCTGAAGGCATAGAAGGAATCAATTGTTCAAAACTCATCACTAGATCTAACATGGGGCACGATGAAAATATTTAACCAGTACCCAATTCTATGTTGAAATCTCATACACCGGCCAATTAGAATTCAATACAAAGATCAAATCATGTAACTGCCTTGTAAGAAACAACATACATGTTTTTTTTTGGGTAAGAATGCTAACAAAATGTCATATTGACATTCATCCAGCATTTCTAGCCTCAGCTGTTTTGCTGAAAGGGAATGAAACAACTTTCACCTAATCATCTTTCTTCTGAAGAAAATGTGGTCTTCTTTTACTTATTGGCCTGCATTTCTATGCTGATCGACAGTTTTGGGGTACCCTTAGTATTATTGTCCAGATTCGCCTCTGTATCCATGCTGATTGGCAGTTTTGGGGTATCCTTAGAATCCTTCTTTATTTCACCTGCATCTGCATCGTCCCTCATAACCACAATTTCCATGTGTTCTTCTTCATGGAACTCCTCGAAATGTGCAATTTTTCCCAATTCTTCCACTTCTTCTATCACAAGGTCAAGCCTTGCCACTGTCTCCAGTAGAAGCGAAATAAAAGCAGCGATTGCGAGTGTCTCTGAAAAGTCAAGACAAGTGATCATAATCTTATTCATTGTTCTGTTAGTGATCTTCTCATTTATATCCTTAACCACTTCTGGCCCCAGGCTCCGCCATCCAAGTAACTCCATAGGCTTGCCTGCTTCAATTTTTTGGATTGGATTGGAAGTAAGGAGCAGCTGTGGTTGAGTCTTAATTGAAGTATCAAGTTCTTCCAAAGCTTCATGAAGGTGATCTGATATGTGGGGTGAACAGTGGTGATGGTTTTTTATGGCTTCTGCAAGCTCCGTAAGAACTTTTACCACTTCTTCTGCAACATGCTCACATGGTTCTCTAAACAAAGCTCGCACGGACCAAGGAACCTGAAACATCAAACAATGGACAAATTCAAGATCAAAAATCTCATAGTTAATCTGATCTCTCTGATGGATAGGAAGCCAACTCCCTAGACTGTGCACAATTCCAACTCGAAAAATGAAAAGTATAAGAAATGGATTTTTCCGTTCTAATACTCTATCCGTGAGTTAAGAAATAAATCTTTCCGTTCTAATACTCTATCCGTGAGTTATCAGTATTTATCAAATCTGTTCCTATCTATCAGAATGCTATTGGATCAAATGACAAAGACATTGTCGAGAAAAAGATGGCTTTTCCCAGATGAAATGAATATTGGATTCATATAACTGGAGAAAGATTTCCCATTCCTTAGCCGGAAAGATATAAGCGGAAAAAGAAAATGCTAGAAAGTAGGACTTGGAAACCATCTGTAACATAAGTGATATGTATATCTTGGGCAACCATAGCAACTCTTTATATTCCATAAACATACATAACACCCAAAATCTAAAAAGAAATAGTACATATGATTTGGCCTGACCCATATTCTCTGCATTAGATATCAACCTAACCATACAATCACTACTTTTTTCAATAACTTGATATTTTATCATATCATCAGGATGAATTCACAGAGTATCAGATGTAGTTAGAGGGACTGTACGAGCATTTTATGGTGCTCTGGTTATATAGGTGATAAACCTAGTTGACAATAATCACAGGCAACTTTAAAATCAATGCTTTCTTTTGTTTGCAATTATTCAAAATAAGACCTCTTTTAGAAGTGTCTTCCATGGAAAGAACATAATACTTTATGCTCGACTACTGCATTAGCTCACAGGGATATATTTAGGAATTGATTCTCTAGGCTCCCGACATATGCCCATATGGCTGTATTCACTGGTATAAAGAAAGTAGGTAGATTTCATTTAACTGCCACAAAACAAAATAGCTTTTACATCGACAAGAAAAATGAAGTGTAAACGTTTGGTAAAAAGAACAAAAGATCTTTGTTTGGTTGTTGAGAAAGCTGATTATGACAGGTAACCTTTGGCTTTGGATTGTTGTAAGAAATTTTGCATTGGTCTCTGTTTTCCCTTCTCAGCAGCAACCAACAGTGGGATAGTCTTGGTAAAGACAACCTGTTACTACTAAGAAACAAATCAATATAGTTACTGTTACTACTAATGAAACAAATCAATATAGTTAAGGTGTTGGACATTGTCTCTCTGGTCAATGAGAAGCTGGTAAGATGCATAGCAGCCAATAAACAAGTCGGTTTTTTTTTTGATTGACAGTAAGTTTTCTCACACATTCAGTCACCTCTAAAACTATTGAAACACAGTCCTGTTTATTAGGGTTTTTTTTCTAAAACATAAGGATGTTTAGGTCACTTTATATTATTATTTACCTATATATACGGGACTTTACTCTTACTTTGAGTAACCCTTAAACTCAAATATATCTCTTGTTGGTATCAGAGCCACTAACCCTGACCCTGATCCTAACCCTAGCCTCCGCCAATCGTCATAACCAAACAGACCCAGCCGCTGCCCCTCCTCCATATTGCATCAGCAACTAGCCACCAATCACTTCCCAGCAAGCATCCCAGTCCAACCTATAACCACCGACTGCCCAGTAACCACACCAAGCAGCCACCACTCAAACAACAACCGAACCAGCGAAGTCGTCTCCGTGCCGAAACAACATACTTCACTAAGCCCACTGCCCAGACTTCCGATAACCACCGACTGCCCAGCCAAGCCCACTGTCCAGACCACCTATAACATATACCAACACCGAAAAATCAACACAAATCAGCCCAGCAAACCATCACCGACAACGGCCCACAAAACCAGCGACCCATTAGCGGAACGACTTGCATTCAGCCTCTATCAGTAAAACCCAGCTACCCACCACCTTAGCTCACCCCAGAACAGTACCTACTGTTGTAAATTGAGAATCTGAAACACTCCAAGTGGATAAACAGTGAGATCTGTAGCATTTTTAAAAGCACTGACTGCCTCACTCCAGGCCATCACCGACTCAATAAACAAATAAGCAAAGCCCAACTAAAGCCCAAAGCCCAAACGAACCAAAAACCCAAAACTGACTGCACCCAAAGCCCAACAAACCCACTGCCCAACCAGCCCGGTACCCACTCTAGTGAACCAGTCCACTGCCGGATCGCGTTCTTCCTCGCAGCTTCGTGTTTTACCTTTGTGCGCCACGTTCTTTGTCGTAGTGTTATCATCTATTTGCGCCACTACCTTCTTTTTTCGGCCTTTTAAGAGGAGTTGAATCCTCTTATCCGTTGATCTGTTCTTGATGCAGTAGGTCCATTATTTATATTTCCTGAATTTCTAGGCACCGTGACCTAATTATTTGAGAGCTTTCTGGACTTTCTTTATCTGTCGCTATTGTTCGACCGGAGATATATTATTTTCCATTATTTTATCTCTCTATTTATTTTAGAGTAATTTTATTTGTCACGAGTGCCCACGTATTGTTATTGTTATGGCTACTACTGAGAGATTTGAGACCTCTACTGTTGAAACCTCTGCTGTTAGTACTTCCCCCTGGAATGTATCTCCTGGTTCTCGTCAGTGTAATAATTGTGGCCGACCAGGCCATCTCAGGGCTATTTGTTGGAAGCTCTATCAGGAGCTTAAGCCGCCTTCTCGCAGCCATACTATTGCTATTGTTGAGGTACCACCACCTACTGTCGTTGTTCCTGCTGCTGCTCCTCCTTGGTAGAGTTATATGGATGCTATCATTTTTCGATTGAATATACTTATGTCCGCCTTGACTTTTCAGGGTCCGACTACTGCTACCACTACAGGTATACCTCGTGTCTTTCATGCTTGCGCCAGTTCGTCTCCCTTTTGGATGTTAGACTCAGGTGCAAATAGTCATATGACTGGCGAGGCCCATCACTTCACCACTTTTGACGAACAGTTACATACACAGGTTCAGCTAGCAGATGGAACACATGTCCCTATTGTTAGTAGGGGTACAGTCTATCTCCCAGATGACTTTACATTACATTCGATTTTTCATGCTCCAAAACTGCCCATGAATCTATTATCTGTACATCAGTTAGCCAGAGATTTTCACTGTACGGTTGTGTTTTTATCTGATTCGTGTTATTTACAGGACCTGAGTACCAAGAAGATTATTATCAAGGGACATGAGAGAGATGAATTGTATTATCTAGGTGACCCACCTCCAGTTTCACCACTTCCTCCACCTTCATCATCTACACTTTTTTTGTCTCTATCTGTTCCTAACTTACATGCTAGTATTTTGTCTAATATTTGTCGTTATGATTTTTCATCAAAAACCGTTCAGTTGTGGCATGACCGTTTTGGGCATACAAATTTTAAATACTTATGTATGTTATATCCTGCTTTGAGCAATGCTTGTGTTGGTGGTAAACTTGACTGTGTTATATGTTCCCTATCGAAATATGTTCGGACCAGTTATATTCCTCGCATGCACCAATGACCCAAGCCATTTGACCTAATACACTCTGATATTTGGGGACCCTCTCCTGTTACTGCTCTGTCAAGCGCTCGATACTATGTGACATTTATAGATAATCATACCCGTTGTACTTGGGTCTACCTTTTGCATAGGAAGTCTGATGTACTCCCTATCATCACTAAGTTTCTCCAGATGATTAAGACACAATTCGATGTAATTGTTCGTGCTCTTCGTTCGGATAATGTCAAAGAATATGTTTCTGATGCCTTAGTGTCTCATCTTTCTTCTCAGGGTATCCTTCAGCAGCTTACTTGTCCATATACTCCTGAGCAAAATGGAGTTGCTGAAAGGAAAAATAAGAGTCTAATAGGGAAGGTACGTTGTATGCTTAGAGGTATGGGGGTACCAAAATCTTATTGACATTTTGGTGTTTTGACTTCTACTTTTCTGTGTAATCGTACACCGAGTCGTGTTCTTTAGCACGGGCTCCCTTACAGATCTTATTCCCTGAGCGGAAACTTTTTCCGGTCCCCCCTCGTGTTTTTGGTTGCACATGTTTTGTTCAGGATCGGTCTCCTACTCGTCATAAGCTTGATGATAAAACAATGCGTTGTGTTTTTGTGGGCTATTGTCATCAGTCTAAAGGGTATCGGTGTTATGACCCTATCAGGCACCATATGTATCACATTCTAGATGTTACCTTTCTTGAGCACATTCTTTATTTTTCTTCCACTCCTATGTCTGCCCCTCCAATTAATGATACTCCCTTTGATTTTCCGTTACCACAGGAGCCAAAGCCAGTCATCAATCTCTCCTCCACCAGAGCCACGCGTCCCTGTCAATACAAAGTCACCAGTCTCTCTTCCTTTGCAGGTTTATGTTCGTCGCCCTCGCTCTCATCCCCCTGTTGATGTCCCTTCTACCTCAAGCGATGCAGGTAATATTTCTCAGTTCCTTGAGCATATTGATGCACCTGTTGTTAGTACTGTTGAGATTACAGTTATTGAGCCAGTTACTTTCCCTGATGAGACATTGCCAGTGGAGAATGATGATTTAGGACATCGTTATCCGCAGCGTGATCGCCGTCTAGTTATCCGTTACGGTTGGATTGCTCGGACTTTATATTCGATCTCTGCTTATATTTCTTATGGTGATCTTTATCCTACATTTTGAGCTTATGGTGTGGCCTTATCAAATACACCGGTTCCTCGCTCTGTTTTAGAGATTATGCAGGAGCCCTAGTGGGTTCTTGCCATGCAGATGGAGATGGACGCTCTTTAGCGTAATCACACATGGGATTTTGTCTCTTTACCTTCAGGGGTGAAGCCTGTTAGTTGTCGTTGGATTTACACCCTGAAGTTTCTTGCGGATGGTTCTATTGATCGTCACAAGGCCAGACTTATGGCGAAGGGCTTTACTCAAGTACCAGGTCGTGATTTTGGTGCTATCTTTGCCCCCGTGGCAAAATTGACTATTGTTCGATTGATTATTTCTCTGGTTGCAGAGTACTCTTAGCCTCTTCATCAGTTGGATGTGAAAAATGCATTTCTTCATGGTGATTTGAATGAGATTATTTATATGGATGCACCACCAGACTTTCGTAGTGAGGGGGAGTATGCTGGAAAGGTATGTCGACTGCGTAAGTCTCTTTATGGACTGAAACAGTTACCACTAGCCTGGTTCTCTCACTTTAGTGATGTAGTTGTACATTTAGGATTTATCAGATGTCATTTTGATCATATTTGCTTCATTCGACGGAACACTTCTAGACAGTGTGTCATCCTTTTGGTATATGTTGATGATATTATTATTACTAGAGATGATGTTTCTGGGACTGTACTGGTCAAAATAGACCTTGGATTTCTGCGATACTTTCTTGGGATTGAGGTCGCCCGTAGCAGTAGTGGTATTGTTCTTTCTCAGAGAAAGTATGTTATGGATCTTCTCTCAGACACTGGGATATTGGGGTGTTTATTCAGATTCAGATTATGGGAGAGCATGTGACGGTCGATCTATTACGGGCTTCTGTGCTTTTCGAAAGACTCATCTTATCTCTTGGAAGAGCAAGAAAGAGGCAGTTGTCTCTCGTTCGTCAGCAGAGGCAAAGGATCGGGCACTAGCACTTGGCACATGTGAGATTATATGGCTACGATCGATTCTTGGTGAGTTGGGATTTCCAGTGACTTCTTCATCTATATGATATTGTGATAATCGGTCTGCTATTCAGCTCGTTTCTGACTCTTTATTACATGAGAGGACGAACCATATAGAGATTGATGTTCACTTTCTTCGGGAGAAAGTTCGTTATGGTATTGTCACTCCATTGTTTGTGGGGACCAGTGATCAGGTTGCGAATGTTTTCACCAAACCTATTACTCTATCTATTCTTCTGTACTCCGTTGTCATGTTTGACTTAGTTGATATTTTTGCGCCTAGCTTGAGGGGGAGTGTTGAAATATAGTCTTGTTTTATATTTTGCCTAGAACATAAGGATGTTAAGATTGCTTTGTATTATTATTTGACTATATATACGGGGCTTTACTCTTAGTTTGAGTAACCCTTTCACTCACATATATCTCTTGTAAAGCCAACCAACATTCTACAAGAAACTCGGTACTTTCTAGATAAACAAAAAAAACCCTAAAATCACACTAAACTATCTGAAAAATTCTGTACAACATATCAGCATATACCTGAATGTGAGATTCCAGACAACCATGGAGAGCAACAGCAGTGAATCCTAGATGTCGAAGACCAACTCCGAGATGCTCATACTGTTTCCACGGATAGCAATATCTTGAATGTCGAGGCTCCCAGCTTGCAAATGTAGCCTGCTTAATTTGACTTGTCATCAGAATATTCAACAGTAAATCATAATTTTGCTGCTTGTGGACATTCAAATTTCATTTTAGACAACTAGCTTATGAATAATACGAAGGTAAGACATACCAAGGCTTCCTCAGTAGAATTGCTTTGCACAGCTTCCTCATAGCTATTGTCCAAGGATGAGCCGTTGGAAAATTTGCATGTACCTTTTGCATCTAGTTCTTGAAAATACTCATCTACACATGCTGCAAGGTTTACAGAGTTCCAATTTTTAGGGAACTGATAACAGGACGATCCAGATTATTTATTTTTTTTCAATTATGATTATTTGAAACACCTTGCTTTATAGATCTAAATAAGTGGTTGTAGAGAAAATCTCTCTGTCAACATCTATCCACTGAGCCCTTTATTCTCAAACCATAACCCAACCAAATTACCCCAACTGCCCACACCAACTCCCCCCCACCCTGGGAAAAAAGGGAAAAATATGTTTTTGTGTGACTTAGTAATGTTCAGCATCAAATCAATGAAACTTGAAGGGTATGCCAATGTAATTATGGGTCAATACCTGAGTCGGGTGATCTTAGCAGGAAGCATGCGGAAGGATAGGATTCAAGACCGCCTAATGGCATTACCAAACTAGCACCATATGTCATGCCAGGCCAAATGTAGGTGACATCATAAGGGGTCTGTCGGAATCCATTCGATCTGGCTATGACATAGCTAGGTTCTATAGTTGCCTAGTAGTTTGCGATGCCAAAGCCATTATAGTCACAAGTGGTAATTGCTGGCATGGCATCGTAAAAGGGTAGAATGCGGTTAGTTCCATTCAGATCTCTGTCAAGAAGGAAAACCAAAAATAGTAGCCTGCAACAATCTTAGTGTTCCTCTCCAAAATGAGATAGAGTTGCTTCTTACCATTGTGGGAGGATGCTTTGCTCTGGCCTTTCTAAATCCCCATCTATTTCACCCCACCTCTCCACAGTATAATTTCTGAAGAAACAGATAAAAAAGAAGATACACTCTTCTCCTCCTTATTTGCCATTCCAAATTAAATAAAATTATAAATATAAGGAAATGAAACGCGACTAAGCGAAAAGTGTGATGCATAAAAAAAATCATGCTAGCAGTGTTGAAGGCAGTCAAATATGACCTGTAAAACATTGATTCGGAGTAATTTATTATTTTGTACGTCAACGGTCACCAATTTTGACATAGTATCATTCAATGACTATGAATTCATCCCCTTTCACATTGCACTATCCTAAGCGGGAAACAAAAAAGTGTACCACAACTGTTTTGCATTATAAAACTTTGAGAATTACAGAAAACGATAAGGACGACAAGATTAAATAGCATACCTTGTACCAATTTGCCAACTCTTCAAATTTTGAAATGATAGTATTCTGGAGGTCTTCACCCGACCAATTGGGAAGAATAAAGAGAGTTATGATGAGACCTATGCCAAACCCTATGGCAATTGCGTAGATTCGCTCGGTTACGATGTGGAATTGATTGTGATCATGATAAGATCCCACCATTACCAAATTAAATGTCACAAGAAACACAATTATTCCATGGTCATAATGCTTGTTGATTGAAGGAATGAACCTCGCATATGTTGTAAATGACCCTGCAAACCTGTAAAATAGTCAATATAATGGCCTCAATACTTCTTTTTGGATCTCTTATACTAGGTTTGCTGATAAGGATTAAGTGAAAAATATTGCACAAATATCCTTTTCTTGCATGTTTGGAACGTTCTCAATTATTCCTTTGTTTAAAAGAAATCATAGAACTGTCCAAAATTCAAGCAAAGGAATGTTCTCTATCTGATCTTATCTCTTCTTCTTCTGATATTGGCAATAAGTCATTTTCTAGAAGTTAGTTACGATCCCTAACTTGAAGTTTTATGCATTAGTAGTTCAATAATGACCGGATTCTTCTATCTTTACCATTGTCCAAGGTGACTAGCATCACTAAATTTCTCACTTTATCATCCATTGAGAGAGGCTTCAAAAGAAACAGCTTATCCATGCGTCACTGATGACCCAATAAGGGCAGCCACTACAACATTACTCCAACAACTATCAATACCTGGAGCAATGACTGTAATGTGCAAATGGCCTAACCATACTAAGGGGAAATGAGTAGATAAAAACATCGGACCCCAACAATGAAACCACAAATACAAAGACATTATATATATGTGGAAACTGCTTTTGGTCAACTGACTCAGACATGAAAGTAGAAGCTACATGAACAACTGCTGAGAGAGATTTTAATAATCAGAAAACTTCGAAGCAAAATGAAAGAATTGGGAGAATATGGAAATGGGATTCACGATGCTTACCAATAAGGAAAACTGCAAAGCCGCTACTAATGGCACATTCAATGTGGCCTAAATGGTGAGCAACAATATCAAACAGAAATGCGAAACTTAAGGCCAGCACTGTCCCTAGTAGCCTGTTGAATCCTTTATACAATGTGGCTCCTGAATCAACACCATTAGTGAGTAATTCCACTCATGTTAAGTAAGGTTCAATACTAGTGGTGTATCTGTGCGAGAGATTTTTAATTTTTCAAAGATAGCAAAATCTAGGTTCTACGCATCATTGCAAGACTATTAGGTAGAACTTACAAGAAAAATTAGCAACCATAGCAGAAACTCACGTAAATAGATCCACTACAAAGTGTAGAATCTTCTAAAAACTTTGTTTATGACTTGAATAACCACAGTAATCTTCACCTAAGCATTAAGTGCTTAATAAAGACATGTACAACAAATTGATAACATAGCATGAAACCAAAACTCATGGTGATCAGTCAAGCAGAAAGTTTGATGAGACACTAACCGTGACAAAACTATTCCCTCAAACAATTTTAATTAGTATTTTTTTAACAAGAAACAAATTGATCAAAGAGTGAAAATTGCAGTGACTAACAGTAACGACCAAGTCTATGTAGGTTGTCTTATAATACACTTTGTTCCTTAGTTCATCCAAAGATTTGACTTGATCACAAGATTAAATCAACATAAACGATAGGATCCTAATTTTTTTTAAAGAATTTTATACTTAATTTATAGCTTCATTGATTAACAGAAAATCAATATAAAAAAGTACCTCTACATTATGAACGCACCAGCTCAACAGTGTAACAATTCAAGCATGGGCTTTAGGCCCCATCTTTCAATGGGGCCCTAAATTTCATAGGTCTCTCAATGGAGGGATAGTCTAACATACACAGTATGTAAGGCTTATACACATGTTTAGTAGTTCCCTCCAAAACCCCTGTCTGCTGCCTACCAATGGGAAAGAGAGCTTGTTGGACGGATAGAGTGAATGCGGGACCGGCATAAAGGACTGGGTTACTAATTCAAAAAAAAGTAAGAAACCAAGCCTAGGGAGCCGGTGGTTGATATAATAAGTACTTACTATCTTTCCCAAACCCCCTTGCCAACCGACCTTCACTTCTCTTTCTAGCCCCTTGACGCTTACCAACGTCTGATTCCTTTTATTGCTTGTTGTACCCCAAGTCTTTTCTTTGTTGGCTTGAGCTTTAGGAAGCAAGGTGATTTATCTTTCTTATTATAAGCACTAAATCCCTACTTCTTGTTGCTAGCAAATGAGAAAAAAATAAGTTTGAAAAAAAAAAAAAAACCATAAAATGTCAATGCAAAATCAATTACGCATCAAATCACTCCCATAGGTCCCAACTGCCCCCTCCCCCTACGCAGTTACGTAACGGTCGTTGCGTAACGGTAATGCAGGTGTCCGATCCCGTTACACTTCGATATAATGGTGTGGATGAAATTTACAACCGTAACGGCCGATATGGGCAAAATCAGGTCGATTTAACCCATTACAACCCGAAAATTATCCAAAATCAAGATCTAGAAACCCAAGTTTCAGCCACTCCCTTCTCTCTCATCCTCACTCAAATCTAGAAAAATTTTCATCTTTGAGATGCAATGCAAAAATGATAAAAAAATCTCATCTTTAATTTGGATTTAAGAATCCATTTCAGTTGAATTGCAAATTTGTGTTGGGTTTGATGGAACAATCTCCATATATTTCAGATTTGTGTTTTGGAATTGGTTGGCTGAACCATTGAGGATCTGTGAAGCTTTCACGTTGGTCTCATATCTATGATGAAGAAGCTTTGCTTTTCGGTTTCAGATGCTCGCGTCGTTCTATCGAAGACTCTATTTCCGACCACCTCTGCATTTCATATGTCGATTTGGTTTTGTGGGTATTGGGTATTAGGCAAGTCTGTAAGTGTCTCACTGATTGCTTTGAGTGGTAAGATCTTGTTATTTAGTTTAAATGGGGCATGTGCTGAGGTTTTGTGATATTTTTTTTGAACAGTTTTTTTTTACACAAAATATAAATTATAATATCATATCATAATATTTTTTGTAGCGGGTTTATTATTATAATGCTTATTCAATATTATAAATATTCTTAATATCTCATTAACATGTTTGTGATACAATAAAATACAGTAAAAATTATTAAACACTCATATTTGCATTATTTTAGAGTTGAAAAGTGTAAATATTCATATTTTGTGGTGTTGTGAACAGAAAAAAAAATTCATGCCTCCGGTTTCCATTACTATTACGGAACGCCCGTCTCACCCCACGTCCATTACACCGTTACCGTCATTTAGAACCATGCCTCTACCCCAATAAAAACATTAAGGACGAGATACCATAATCTACTAGATAAATATTGAGTTTAAGAATATATTGATTTTATATTTAATTTAAAAACTTAAACTCATTAGACGATAACAATTTAAAAAATATTGTCTTAATCTCGATCGATGACTAATATGAAAGTTTTTTTGCTATTAATGGTCTAGGTTGGTTTTGAGATTTAAATATCTTAACAAAAATTTTACAAACAAAAGAAAGCATCTTACTTGAGATACTTAATTATATAGAAATACTTGATTCTTTTCAAATGCATTCTTTTTACAAAATATAATTATTAACATTCTACAACAATTTGTTCCATAAATAGAAGTTTTTCAAAATTAAAATTAATAAAATCCTTAGTAAGTTCGACAATGTCTAAGAAATATTAAGCCAATAATTCATTCTATATCAATCAAAAAAGATATGTTAGCAAAACTTAATACAAAATTTAATAAGAAATTTTAATCTCAAAAATAAAATAAAATTTACATTAAAATTCCATAATCAAAAGAAAAATAAATAAACTAAGAAAGTCATACTCCTAATGCACAACATAAATGTATCATCCATAACACTAAAAATCAAGAAACAACCCTTACAGTGTAATCACCAAGCTTTCTAAGACTTTCACGAATCTGATGAATATAATAGTATAAAATTGAAATGACGTTACAGTATCTTACATATACCTGCTCTGAATTCGACGACAAGTACGACAGTGAGGACTGCCCAAATGGAGTTCTGACGAATACCCTCATACAATGGCTCCAACAGGTACACCAATGACGCCACAGTCATTGCCACACCGACTTTGAGCGAATGTACCACCTTTCTTGGATCTTCTTTCCCCGCCTTCATCGCTTCGTCCTTCACCGCCTTTCCGATCGCGCTGGCCTTACGCAACCATCTCTCCGCCCACTTTTGGCCGGCCGTCGTTGGATCTGCCTTGTTGCTAAGGTTTTTCGAAAACTCCATATCCATGCACCTTGTCATGAAAAACTTTTCCAGTACGTGACTGAGAAGTCTGGTTTGTGTAAATGAGTATATATACATATACGTAGAGAGAGAGAGAGAGAGAGACCGAGTCTCTGTTGAGCTTCCCCGCGGGCAGTTGGCATTGAATCCTGCTATATAGGAAGTCTGGTACGCAGCGTATATTAGCACAAGGGAGAATTATACTTTATACCCCAAAAAATTTTAAAATTTTTATTTTATACTCTTAAAGATTAAATTTCTCATATCTCCTTCAATATATTAAAAGTATTAGAATAATACATTACAATATTTTTAATATATTGAAAATATAATGTAAAAAATTTAATCCTAAATGGTATATGCACGGAATAATTCCTACAATAGTCTGAGACAGCGACTTTCAGTCTGATGAATCTGCAACAACCACAAGGTCAAAAAAAGGGGGCTAGGTGAATACCTGACTTATCTCCTCCGAAGTTTAAGTCAGTGTAAGGTAGGAGGTTCAAGTTCAATGAATATGATATTCTGGTTCAATCTTGTGTACCTTTGTTCACTTTTTTAGGAGTATTGTATTAGCAACGAGTGCCAAAAGACCTCAAGTCTCATCTGGACGTGTTCTCCACTCAAGTCTTCTCCTACTCAATGCTAGGATGAGTGCTTGACACCATGCCAAGCATTTATGCCTGCTCCCGAGTATCCACATCCTTCAGATCGGCGTCTGACACCCGCAACTGAGCATTGAATACACGGGAGAACAATTCCTTGGAGAGAGCAGAACATATATATTCGGCATACTAGTCATCAATGTCTAGCCATCATGATAGTAGACTTAGACTCTAAAGATGCAGGTGCCCATTAATATCTGATCACTATCACTCATATCGCCATAAATGAGTAGTCAAGTCATATTAAATGTCGTGTCAGCTGTCGTACTCGACTCCTCTGAGCCATTATCTTTCGGCTTACCTCCTTGGTGCCTATCAGGCCTTTGCAACGGATCCATCTTTACATGTGTCAGTCTAGGGACCATAGGATCGCCTAAAGTCTTTCCAACTGCTCCCCAACTTCCATTCTTTTTATGGCTTGGCACAGGTGGCGTAAAGAGAATGGAGGCTCAGAAGACACGTAAATAACGACGGTTACTTGCACGTCTGGCGCCGCCCTTTTCAAATCCCCTAATGATGGCTCAACTTCTCGATTCCTACCCCTTGCAAGAGAGTATAAATAGGAGATGCATGGGTCTCCTTAGAACTTTTGCATCCTCAGTTTCTCTCCAGTAATCAGCCCCCGAGCACTCCTCTACTCTCTTTTGAGTTCCTTCTTTGAAGACCTCCTTCCTGTAAGTACTTCCTTTCGAGATCCTTTATCATTGTTTCTTCATTTCTTCTTTTTAGAACCCACCAATGGCTAGAATCCACAGAACCAGAGGAGAGGCACCTGTTAGGGCTAGGGTCAATCCCAAACTGAGGAGAACCCAAGTGATTGATGAAAACATCCACGCCTTTAGGCTTAAATACAACATCCTTGAGCCGTATTCACCTTCCCTTTTAACCTCACCCACCATAGGAGAGATATGGAAAGTGTAGACATGATGCCTTTTTAGACCAAGGCTATCATGAAAGAGGGGTTAACCTTCCCTCTTCACCCCTATTGCTGAAGATGTTGATATAATTGAGGTTTTTCCCCCTTTAATGTGGAGTTAATTTTTTTAAGATTGTGATGGGCGTAGCCGCCTTGAACACTCAGCTAGGGACAGACTTAGGGTAGACGAAATTTTGTTCTGCTATGACCTAAGGCTAGTTACTAGGGAGAGATATTAACTCCAGGCTTGGGATAACTCATATGCCCGACTCGGATAAGGGGTATGTAGACGATCTGATCATGCTCGACGGCAGTTGGGAGAAGGGATAAGGGCCCGAGTATGTCAGATTATGCTGCCCCAAAGTGCCGAGAGATGAAGGTGTATTTTCTCCTTTTCTAGACTAGTTTGGTCCCTTGTTATTATTAGTATCGACCTCGGCTACTTGTTTTTGCAAAAGGATACTGTCGGGACGCAGCTCAACCTCTGAGGCCTCAGGTCAGGTTTGCTGACCTCCTGAGAGTTTGGTCCCACGACCTTGCTCAGTGAGCGGCACTTACACTGCTCAGCTACTTGCCGACCTATAGTAGATTCTCTTAGATCTCTCCGCCGTTCAACCCCTCTCTTTGGGAAGACCACTCTTCGTTGGAAGAGGAAGATTTTGAACAAGAGTCCGAGCACACTTCTCCCTAGCCCCCTGCCCCTTCAGAAGAAATGTTCAACCTACCGCCAATTATTGCCGCCACAATGGAGGCTGCCACCACGACAAGGAGAGCCAGACTCGTCAGGCTGGCTGGGCCTTCTGGCATGGCTCCCATTATCCCGTCGTCGACCTCTCCCTGACGGCAACCACTTCCATCGCCGCGTTCTTTGCCATCCAAGGACCCGGTCATGCCGCCGAGAGAAAAGGCCCCATCTCACCAAGTCTCGCCTCTGGAGATTGGCAGAGGGACCAGTGTGGTCGGGAGCCTGAGGAGTTAGAAGAGCGCCGAGTGAAGCACCAACAAGACGTCCCGGGCCCGGCCATATCCGCCCAATGGGCCCCCCAAGCAGAAACCAGTAGGGGTCGTCCTGTCTTAGAGGTAGACTCAATCCTCCAGTCCCCTGGCATGACACTTGACATCGTGGGGACTTTCCAATTTAAAGCCGACATGGCCATGTACAAAGGCTATACAGACAACCGACTCCTGATGAGTACCATTCAAAGTAACCTGGTGATAAGTGGGATGTTTTCCTGAGTATTCCTCACTGCATATTTGGCCACTTTTGACCTAAGTCCTTTCTATTTTCAGGCTAGACAGTAGATGGGGGTCATCATCGAACATTTTTGGAAGTACAAGCAGGCGTCGAGGAACGTCGAGCGAGCCGCGACTGCCAAAGATGAACACATTCGAGGGGTGGAGAAGACCCTCGGCGACCAGACTCGGCAAATCACCGAGCTCATTCGCTAATGTGATGCCCTTGATGCTGAGCTAGAAAAGGTGAAGGCGGGCGAGGCTGCGACAGTCAAGAAGGTCGAAGAGTACGAGCTTCGAATCTCCTCCGCCGAGGTCAAGCTGCAAGACTCTGAGTCCATCATCAATGATCTAACTGCCAAAATGGACTCCCTGACAACAGAGAAGACGGGGGAGCTGGAAAAGCTGGAGATGGAGTGCCGAAGGGTGTGGTTGGCCACCCAAGACCAGATGATTCTCGCCTTTGAGAAAGCCAAGAAAAAGGCTTTCAAAGAAGGTTGGGATGCCGCCCTTCATGCCTGCCATGTCGAGGTAGGCTCGAACTTGTTTGCCATGCATAGTCTCCGAAGGGAGATTGATGAAGAGGCTCTCAAGGGACAAGTCCAAGCCGATCCAAGCAACTAAGTTTAGGCTGAAGAGGCGGCGGGGGGTGAGGGTGAGAATGAACCCATCACCCTTAATAACAATTCTGATCAACCTTCTCCTTCTCTTCCATCCCTTCAGCCTACTGAACAAGGAGATGACCTTCCTCCTCCTCTACCCTCCATCATCACTAGAGGATATGATACTGAACTTGACGAGATACTGGGGGTCAAAGAGAAGTTACTAAGGCGACGTGGTGGCCTCAATGAGGGAGATGCCGAGGATGAAAGAGCCGAGGGTCCTTAGCTACCTGAGGATTTTGTAACTTCTGTGTTCTGTGCTTTTGTGACTTGTGTTCTATAACTTCTTTGTTTAGCTTTTTTGTACGCCCTGGGGACGCAAAGCCCCTTTTTGCTCTTAATGAAATCTTTCTTGCCCATGTACGTGTTCTTTTCATTTCTTATCTCATTGATTGCTTAAAGATCCAATCATTTGACCTCAAAGAAATAGAACTGAAATTAAAAGTTAGTAATGACCTCCAGAGGTATCATGGAAAGGAAACCCCTGTGTAATAAGAGAAGTTCTCAATAGCTAAACACAAATGAACTCTTCAAGTGTTGATCTTGTTTGCCCGGGGTCGAGTATCTTAATTATCAAGCCCTTAACGACCGAGCGCTGGGCTCAATCTTTCGAGGGCGTTGCTCCAAGGGTAGAGTCTTACACCCCTTGGAGCCGTGCCCCTAACGACCGAACGTTTGACTCATGTTAATCATTCGAGGGCGTTGCTCCAAGGGTGGAGTCTTACACCCCTCGGGGCTATGCCCCTAACGACCGAACATTTGACTCGTGTTAATCATTCTCTTAGAAGCAAAGCCTGACATCTCGCTTAATAAAAGTATTTCTTCAAATTTTATACATTCCATGGCCAGGTTACATCATTACCGTCCATACTTTGCAATCTATACGCATTTGTGCCCCCCATAGAGATCGCTTTGTAAGGCCCTTCCCAATTGGGACCAAGTTTTTCATTAGTGGGTTCCCGAGCATTGCCCACCACTTTTCGTAACACAAAATTTCTGACTTGGAAATTCCTCGTTGGACCTTCTTCTGGTGTTGTCTTGATAATTCTCCTTGGTATCTTGCTAATCTGATAGACACTAGTGCTCTCCTTTCTTCGGCTAAGTCGAGATCTCTGGCAAGCGTTTGATCATTATTTCCCAACTCAAAGACTTAGCGTCGTATTGTTGGGAGTCCTACTTCCAATGGGATAACAGCCTTAACCCCATATGTCAAGACGTATGAAGTTTCTTCTGTAGATGTCCTCAACGTGGTTCTGTAGGCCCATAGCATGTTGCATAATTCCTCGATCCATCTCCCATTTGCTTCTTCAAGTCTCTTCTTGATTCCTGTCAGCACAATTTTGTTGGAAACCTCTGCTTGTCCATTACTTTGGGGATAAGCTGGTGTAGAATAGTAATTACGTATTCTAAACCCCGAACAAAACTCTCTAAATGGACCACTATTGAATTGAGTCCTGTTGTCAGAGATAATAGCCCGAGGGATTTCAAATCGAGTGATAATGTTTTGCCATACAAATTTTTTTATTTCTA